GTAACTGAAGTTAAATTATAGCTCACATTATTTGAGTATGTGTGGGGATTATAAAATAAGTAATGATGAGTAGCTTAATAGGTCAGAAAGACTTTTGGAAGGCTTGATAATGTAACAGGTTGCCGAGGGGATAATCAAAGTCTCACAGTCTTGGTAAGATTATGTGTGGCTTGGTGCTGATGATGGGTCATATATTCAGTGGAAAGAGAGGACAGCTGGTGTGTGTCTGATAGATTAGACAGGGACTTCAAAGATTCTGTAAGGTGTTTATTGGACAGGAATTGAAAACAGGAAATGTCACTGGGTGGAGAAAACAGTATATTAAATGTAGGAATAAACTTGAGACACGTCAGAATTATACAGAAGACCTCTGAATTCAGGTAATATAAAACAATTCTCTCTTGTTCATGCATTTTGAAGTCTGTAAGTATAAAGAGGTTGTTTAATTCTGACATAAACGTGTGTTCCTTCCGAGCAAATGATCCGGGCAGGGGAGAGGAGTAGAGATCTTTGTCTCCCTCTTCCACAGCTCATCCTCACACATGAACTCAGGCCTTGACCTTCCAGTAAGCTGGCATTCCATGTCTAGTCTGTACCACCAGAAATTTGTATGGCCAGGTACTCACCCTTGCCTGCTGCCCAGCTTGCATTACAACCTTCACTGATGGTGTTCTTAGCAGGTGGTGGGATCACATGGAGGTGGCATCCTATTTTTCTTTCAGGCTTGGCCCAGCTGAGCCTCATGAGCCATGGTTCAACCACCAGACTTTTGCTGGCAAGTTCATCCCCACAGGCTTAGCTCCAAAGAAGGGCCACACTTTATTTTTTCTGGCCAAGGTTTTCTGATGCAAATATTGTTTCATTCAAGGATTTTGAATTGCGCATAGTCTGACCCTTCCACTGAGGCCTATTTGCCATGGGAGACCCTACCAGGGACTGATGCCCCTGACAAGATAAGCAGGGCTTAATTTGAGCTGGATCCTGCCGGAAAAAATCCGGGAATTCTCTTATTTTGACAGGGTGCTTTCCGACAGCTGTTTGCTTGGATCTGGCAACTCTCAGGTTTACCATTAATATTGTTATGAACATTTATGACTGCCTTGTCGTTTGAGGAGCCATGCTTGAACTGTCGCTCTCCTCTACTGCTGAAAGGATAAATACATAACTAAGACACCTCCGCTTCTGTTTTTATGACACTCTGAACACTTGACTTTCTTTTACCCTTGGCTTTTTTATGTTTCTGCATTCACATGTTCAAAAGTATCCTGAGGAGATAAAGATAAACTGTAAAGATACCTTTTTAAGAAAAAAAGATAGCTTCTGCTTTTTGGCTGCTCTCATTTTTCCACCACAGATGTTCACTTAAAAAAACTTCACACTATTGTATGCATACCCACAATTTTATTTGCACAGACAACACAAATCTCTCAGAGCCTGAAACAAGCAACCAGGACTGTCTTTACTACAGAGAGAAGAGAAGGCAGGTATCAATATCTAAAGTGTTTTCAACTTTTCAACTTTGCAGGCATCACTCAAACGTTTAACAAAGCTAGTCATTGTGTGCTTTCTGCCTGTATGCGTACCAACAGGCATTAACGAAAGCCCCTGCAATGATTTGGTTACTGTAGTATGTCGGCTGTTCAACAGATGACGCATGAGTTCCCGGTCTTCATTTAGTAGAGAGCATTACAGGAAATACTTGTTAAATATTCTTAAAAGGCATATATATATATATATATATATAAATATATATATATATATATAGAT